TACCAGATATGGTCACTGTCAGTGGATATTAGAGCAATTATTACACATAGAATCCACTTTCAGCGCTTCATTTTCTGTGTGTGAGAGCAGTTGGGATGCAGTAATGAATGAAGCCTGAATTCCTAAGCTCAATTGAGTTTCATGGCATTTGTGAATAATCTGAGTTTTAATGGTCTGGAAAGACAAGGAAAAAATTAACTTTATTTGCTAGATAACTGGTTTTAGTGGGCCATTACTCTCATCTGTTATATTTGGACTTTTTTTTAGAAATAGTCTCACTTTGTCAACCTCCGTAGAATACTAGAGTACTGTGATGCCACAGCTCACAGCAGCCTTCAACTCCTGGGCTTAGGTAATTCTCTTGCCTCAGCCTCCTGAGTAGCTGGGACTATGGGCTCCGCCACAGCGCCCAGCTATTTTTTTGCTGCAGTTTGGCTGGGGCCAGGTTGGAACCTGCCATCCTTTGTATATGGGCCCAGTGCCCTACTCACTGAGCCATAGGCGCCGCCCTGTGTTTGGAATTTTTATGTACATGGTTAGTAGTTTGAAAACAGTCACTGAAGAATGTACTTATTGGGGCCCAAGTACCAGGAGGCTATCAGGCCCAGTATTCAAGGACCTGATTACTGCATACAGTTGATAAAATGTGATTCACTACTAAAGTATGGCATAAATATTGGGGATTCTCTAACATTTTGGATTAGGCAGTACTTTTTCCAAGTGTTTAGCTATCACTATCTTCCTATTGAACATTTCCAGTGACTGCCCTGTTTGTCCCTAGAGGGGTCTGGTTGCTGCTTACAGTGGTGACAGTGACAATGAGGAGGAGTTGGTGGAGAGACTTGAGAGTGAGGAAGAGAAGCTGGCTGACTGGAAGAAGATGGCCTGCCTACTTTGCCGGCGCCAGTTCCCAAACAAAGATGCCCTGGTCAGGCACCAGCAGCTCTCAGACCTGCACAAGGTAGCTATGCTCTGAGCTGATCTGGGGTGGGGAGATGATCTCGCTATGGTGAAGGTTCAGTAACTATCTGCTGTTGAATAATTTTCTTATATAAAGCTCTTCTGGATAATAGAATGTAGAGGAATGTGGCAACTCCACACATAGTAGTCTCTGGTTTTTATGTGGTTGTGTATTGGGTTGGGCTTTGGCTCTCAGGATACAATAGATGTTGCTGGGGAGGGGGGAATGGGTGGAGGGAGGGAGTTTGGAGGGATTACTTCTGAGGTTTACCTTATAGGGGTACAGGTGAATCTTTCTAAGAGTAGAATGTGAATGTTTTAAAGCAATAACT